CATGACACTTTCCTCAGTACGAAGAGCAGCAAACATGGTCAATCAGTCCAACAGGTCTTGTCGCCTAAGTTCTCATTTCCATTTCAAGCGTGGTTGAAGATGTCATGGCCTTTTGTCTGTGTAGGAATAGTGCGAAAATAGTCAAAATATAAATCAAAATCCTTTCCTACCTACCACTCTTTGGAGAGTGCCAATACAAAGCATAATTCTAATTCTAATTCCAATTTCATCTATTTTAACGAGTATGTTGCCAAGACTAATATTAGCTCTAAGACTTGCATTCGTCTTATTTCGTTTGAGGCGATGAAGGATTTGTAGATGAGATATTCATAATTATGCGAGTAGGCCTCAAGTTTCTATTGTATTTCACAAGGCCTTTCTTTCCAAAAGGTATTCTCATTCGGGCAGAAGTGAACTGCAGTTTCAACCTCGCCTGAACAGGTCTCATCGGCAACCTCAGCGGGACTCAAACCCAAGTTGTTATAGTGTATGCTAAGGAAAGACGTGAATTTCAGGTAATATCTACTTATAAAGTATGCAAAATTGTCAATTGATGCAGCAAATCCTACTAGATATGGGTGATATGGGAAAGGCCTGGCCTTCATTGAAATTCACATCTGAACTTTTGCCCAAAGTTACTGATGATAGTACGGTCTAGTAGTTAACGCTTCGAGACTATAGGCGACACGGCGACAACCTGGGTTCGAGTCCCGATTGGACTGATGATGGGATTAGTACAGGTGAGGACGAAACTGGAATACCTTTGGGAAAGCAAAGTTATGCCTATTCGTATCATTGAGGGTAACTCATCTACCACTCCTTCATCACCTTAAATATCGGATCTACTGGCAGTCTTGAAAGCCTACCTATAAACTGTAAATGATTAAACCTTATCACTCTTTGTCCAAGCGCGGTATTCTTTACCGATCTGTATGTGGCTGTTGTCGAAACTCGCTCCTTAAACCCACCTTGTCATAGCATCACTTCGTTTTTTCGTTTTTAGTAGATTTTAGGGACCACCAATCAATCAAATACATGAGCTGTGCTCGTTCTATTTCGGTTAAGTTGATGATGGACTGGTACTTTAATTTTTCCACAAGTATATGAGTATACCTTGTGTTTCCATTGAATACCACATGTCCTTGCTTCACAAAAGTTATTGTCATCCAGGCACGAGTTGACTGCAGCTTCGACCTCGCCTAGGTCTTATCAACACCTCAGGCGAGACTCGAACCTTGGCACTGCTGCATATAATGTCGACACGTTTGCCACAAGTGCCCTGGGGGGATAGGGAAGATGTGAATTCAAGGAAAGCCGGTTATTTTTCCCATTTCGCATTCTGTGGTAGGATTTTCGAAGGGTTGTCGAAACTGCAGTCCAAACTGGATGATAATACTCATTTGGAAGCAAGGATATGTGAAATTTAATGAAAACATAAGGTCTACTCATACGACTGTATGAACACTGAAATACCAGTCCTTCATCACCTGAAACGAAAGTGGGTGAACACATCTCATATAAGAACCCATCGGCCTAAGTTTTTTCTCCAGAAATTGGCTTACGCAAAAGTTGAGAATCAAATAACATTAAGTTAAAGCTGCTCTACGGCGCAGGAAGCATTCCAATATGACTTTCCGGGTCTGTAAACCCTTCTTTAATTTCTGTGCACGCAATGCCCATGTCATTCTGCTTGCAAAACGGATGTCTTTTAAGCTCTCTGCTCGCGAGTAATATAAGATGTTATGAATCTTTGTCAAAAATTTAATGTTTCCTATCCCACAGATTAACAGGAGGTTAAATATATTCACCTTTATTGTCTACCATTTGTCATCCACAGGATAAATTAGTACTTTTCAACCTGATCACAATGGTTTTGCTGACGGTCTGGCATGCTGTCGTCAGAGTAATCGTTGGAACCAATCCAACCTTCGGCAGTGAGCTCTACGTGCTAATTGCCTTCATCATTCTCTACGCGATCGGGTTGTCGATCTTTGCTTTATACGTGAATTTTGATGTGAGTCCTTACCGCTGTTTGCTAGACCGAATTGAGCATATCTTTGCTCCTATCACTAACCCTTGGGCAATGTGGGATTTTTTGGAATTATTCCTTCAGATTCCATGCAGCTAACAAAGAAAGTAAGCATTTGGACGTTCTCAAATGTATAGTCTTCGAACCAGTAGATACAAACAATAAATGGGTTTCGATGAATCTCATGAGATAACATTGTCATGAAGAAGAGACTAGTAGGTCGATCGCACCAGAAAAGGGCGGATGAATCGCGTTGTACTGCAGCCGTTTGGCTTCTATACGACGTTCAGGTTGACGCAGTCCCCGAAACCTCCTGCCTCGTTTCGGGTGAAAACATGTTGAGCTTACGTGCATCATATGAAAAGTATGAAGCTAGCGGATAGCAAACGTTTGACTAAAGAGTTGCAACGGCTGACAAATATATTCCTTGAAAATAATTATCCTCTGGGCCTAATTAAAAATAACATCTCTTTACGGAGGAATACATTTTTAGACGAAGACAATTTAGTCAAAGA